AATCTGGCGAAGGGACACGGGGAAGGGGCGAAATGGAAGTGGAGTGGAGGTCCTGGGCCACCGGCCACCGCTGTTGATGATGAAAAACGCACTCGAATTAAAAGGTTTTGCTGGAAACGGGGACCGGACATCAACCTGATCAGGGGCGGGGCTGCAGCGCTTTGGGGGGTTGAACTACGAGTGCTTGCAAAATGAATCAAATTAAAATATTTATGGGGATAATCTGTCACTTGAACAAGTGGATTTCGGCCAGGCCAGTAAGTTGAAATTGGCAAAGGGAAAATAAATTTGGGAATATCAAATGCAGTGCAGGCAATTCTTTGAGAAACAATTTTAGGAAAACAATTAAAAGAAAACAAGTGTATTAAAATATCAAGAGAAAAAGTAAACTATATTGTGTTTTGCCAACAACTCAAAGGTAATGCATTTAATTAGATTAGATAGTTACTAAATGAAAAATCGTGCCTAATAGCTTTTCTTAAAACTACAATTACCCTTTTTATAATAATTTCTAAAAAAAGTAAGAGGCAACATAAAATAAAATAAAACAACAATGAAATTAATTTCTTGCAACTTATATACCTCAAAACAATGGAAAGAATTTCGGGAAACTGTACTAACAATTTGACAAATTTGTTTCACAATTCAAAGTAATTAACATCAATAAGCTGTCATTTGAAGAAGGGAGTTACCCAAAGCTAAGCTTTTAGGAATTAACCCCAAAACAGGAATGTCCTGGAACAAGGCGATTGCACTTCCACTGCAGTCTAACTGCAGTTATCCTGCGTGTGTGGAAGGGGTGAGGGGGGTGGGGTCTCAGAAGGACCAGGACGAGACGAGTTGAGCCAGACAGCCAGCATATTGCAATTTCGCAAATCAAACAAAAGGCAGCCGCAGAAAAAAACACAACACCGTGGGAAGGGGCAAAGGCGCTCGACCAAAAGGACAATGCACAGGCCGAGGATGGCACAGGATTCAGGACTCAGGAGGCAGGACGCAGGACGCAGGACTCAGGACACAACTCGGCTAATATGCATTGCACATGCAGCGAGTCTTACGCGGAGCAGGAGAAGCCGGAGTTTGGGGGCTTTAAACTTTTTTCATGACTCTTGTTTCGGCAGTTTGTTTGCCCAGCAAATGCATCCAATGCAATTTTTCGGGCCGCAATGTAGACGCAAGTCCTTGCTGCAATCAACTTTGCCAGGAAACCGGGTGCCCAGGATCCGGCGAATGGTGTGAGATATGGAGCAGCAGCGATGGTTAAGCGGACGCTTCGCAAGTCAATCAGTCCAAAAAAAACAAAAAAAAAAAAAAAACAGACTGGAAAACAAAAAAGTCCCTAGCCGGCTAAAGTCCTTATTATCCTTGCATGTTGTCGGAGAAAAAAAATGCAATATCGAATGCATTTGGAGCTGCAGCCACGCCCCCTGCCCGCATCCCTCTATCAACTAAACGCACTGCAGCCGCAAAGAAATTGCGAAAATGAAAACAACAAAAAGAGGGAAATTGGGAAATGGGAAGCGCGAGAGAGAGATTTTCAATTAAAAGGAATTGCTGCTCTATGTGGATTTTTGTGCTTATTAGCCTGCCTATCCGGCCTTCGCCCCATACCCCCCCCCCCCTCGCCCTATCCTAAAACCACTCGAAAGCCGTGCACATTTGGTAATCAATTTCTGTTGTTGCTGCCGTTGTTGTTTGGCGGCTGACTGACAATCTTTGCTAATAAGCTGCCCCCCAGGCGCCTCTTACATCGGCATCTGCTACAGCTGCACATAGACAAAAACTAGGAGGAAAACTATATCAAAGACTAGGGAAAAGCTTGATGAACTTAGGACTTATTGAACCACCTTTTAATTTGTAGTAACTTAAAAATGTAATGTGATATTTCAAATAATGTAAGCCTTATTCCAAAATTATATTTTATTTTTAAACAATTAAATTAACCTAAATCAAATCAAATGATTTATGTAAAAAAATGTATTCAAAATTATCTATTTTAGATTTTTAGTTTATTGACATAACCAAATTAAAAAGCTAGATAAGTCTAGAAATAGGAAGGAGAGGAAAACATTATCAGAATACTTTGAAAACCCTTTTCTAAATTGTTGATAACACTTTCATTAATATCTCAATTTATTTCTCTGCGTGCATCTACACAGAGCGCAGATGAGATGATGCACTTGCATTATACAGATTTTAGATTTCTGAATTGCGACGCCGAAATGCATTCAGTGCCTGCCTCTTTTTCTGAGCCTGTCCCTGTTGTTGCCGTCGCTTTTCAATTAGGCCAATCCAAGCCAAGCCAAGCCATCGCGGCTCTGGTGAGAGGCAAAGGATTAGTTCCATCATTATCTATTCCGTATGTGGGCAGAAGTGTCGCTTTTGGAGGAGACGAGGGGCAAACTGCCGCATGGGCAAAATATTATTGACGATTCTTAGGGCCGAGGTCGGAACAATGGAGTGCGGAATGCAAATCCTTCAGTCAGCTAATATTGTTTATCCCTAAGCAGTGTTCTCCCCGTTCCCGGGAAGGAACAAAGCCGAAAACTATGCAAAAATATAACAAAAAAAAAAGCGAGGAAACAGTGGAACTGCGACCAAATCGAAAGGAAAACTCTTTGACAATGGCAGGTAGCGAGACGGAGGGCAGGGGATGAATGAATGGATGAATGAACGATCTAACTGCATAGCGTCCTGCGATGCAAAGTAAGTGCAAAGGATTTGCCACGACCAAAGGGCTGAAGTGGCCGACAAATGATTGACGAAAATGCCCCGGGAAAACTGTGAGAAAATCAGCCGTTTTCTTGATGAAAATTGGAAATTTTAACCCCCTCCTTTGACAGCTGGAAATTGTGATTCTTCATTTATTGTGTGGCATATATATGCATTCCATTTTCCTCATTTGGCTGGCCATTGTTTGGTCCTTGATCGGAGGCTGAATTTGACACTTTCCAAGAAGGCATTGTTTGAATGGGTTAATTTGTGTATTTAGCCGAGAGATCCAGCTGTTATTGAATATCGACAGTGAAACGTAAACCCAATTAAAGCCCTAAGTCGCCGCACACATTTTGCGGCACGTTCGTCCTTCATTTTGCACCTTTCGCGATGCGGCAAGAAGGACGCAAAAATGCAGATCACGGTCCAAGGAGTCATCGCTCCTGCAACCGAAGTCGAAATCGATATGCACCCGCATTTTGTCTGTCTGTCAAGATGCTGCCCTTTTCTGGCCCTGGATCTGGAGTCCATAACTCATCGGGGCAATGTGCAAAAGTGGCTGTATCGCATATCCTGTGGCTGCTTTGTTTGCCGCAGCCTCTTTTGTCCACGTCGAAGTCAGCTGCAGTTGCAATCTGTTTTTTCCGCATTCAGCACGATCAAATATTGCCGAAAAAAGAGCTCTCCTTATAGATACAGCATATAGCATCCCGATCAGGTGGCGCGTGTCCGCTGGTGGCCAACTGTGATTTGTCGGTCTGAATCATAATGCGATTCTTCTATTTTTGGGGCGTCAGCTGGTGTGCGAGCCACGTGTATCTGGCAGATACTTTTGCCAGAGCCAGCCGCCTTATCGACTGCATGCTGAATTACCCGCTTTCTCATTAACATGCCACTTTGGCCTACTTGTCTTGGCTTCTTTGGTTCGTCGAAATGTAAATACCCCTACCGAAATTCCCCAACACTTTCAATTCGGAATCTCAAAGCCAAACAAAATAATGTTTATTTTTAATTGCAAAGCCAAAAGAACACTACGAAAAAATGACCTCAAAAACGACAATATTACTTAGATTAAATATATTAAATAAAAATATAAAATATATTTTAAAATGGTTTTTATTCTTTGTATGAGAAGTTGGTTTTTTTATCGCAAATGAGCGGTTCAGTTCCCAATGAACTACATTTGGGTTTAAATAAAAAAAAAGCAGATATGTTCATATGTTTTAGTGCTCTTACTTTTCAGAAAATAATTTTTCAATTAAAAAGGACATTTAAATAAAATGTTTAATTGGACTTTAGTGTTGACCTAAGACAGTTATTTAATCAGTAATCTTACCTACAATAACTGTTCCCAAGATTAATTTGTTCTTGGCTTCACAGGAAATACAATTTAAAGGGGAAAGTTCTAGAAGTTAGAGTTAATGTTTTTCCAAGTGAATGGCCAAAAGCTTTTTAATTAAGCCCTGCCTTCAAGGAGGGGACCACGAATCGGGAATCGAGGAGAAATCACAGAAAACTGTTATTATAATCATCGTCTACGTCTGCAAGCGACCCAACCCATCCACCCCTTCTTGTCGCCTACTTTGTCATTATAATTTTTCCTTTCAGCCGGCCAAAGCGATGGCCAAATGAAAGAAATTTTTGCGGGCCAAAAGAAATGCATTTTATTATTATTATTTGTTGTGGTGACTTTTTAATCATTCCCTACCAAACAAAGCGGTCGAATGGGCAGGGGAGGGGGTTGTGGATTTGGGATGGGGTTGTTGTTCAAGAAGTGGAACCACTGGCCGATTCTTATTGGTGCACCAATACCACTCGGACAGCTCAGACAGATATGGCCATCGGCTACTCCCACACCGATGACGACACACCCGATAACGACGAATGGGGAAGTCTCGAGAGTGCCACAACCACCACCATAAGAAAACCCACACTGCAACAACGAAACTGTGCCGAAGACATAGACGAAAACGAAGACGAAGACCACTACAATGCCAAATTCGCCGCAAAGACGAGCACGATTGCAATAAAACCCGAAGACGAAGACGAAGTGCCTCCCCTTCGCAGCCATGACGTCACACCTCAAGAAAACGCTCAAGGAAACGACCTTCAGAGCAGCCAGCGGCGAATGAGTGGGAAATGGGCGAAGTGAGCGAAGGAAGAGCAGGTAATGGAGGAAGAGCAGTGAGCGTAAGAAGAGCATCGCAAGAAGACGCTCTCCGCGCTCTCTTAGGCTCTCTTTCTCTCAGCAGCCCGTCTCAGACGTTCAAGACCTGTCTTTCGAATCGCGTTCAGTACAACGACGCGCCTTGTATCTGAAAGTTCGCTCTCGCAGTACGGATACGGATACATTTGTGAACTGGACTGGGATTAACGCTAATTCGTTTTTGATTGCCGCCAGGGGGGATCGTCGCCAATGGACCGATACCGATGCGTAAGTAAAGTGGGTAATTAACGAAGCACGCGGTTGGGACATTGCAGACATATCCATATTTCGATAAGCACAGCCAGATCAGATCCGTGGGGACCAAAGCCTTATCTTGTTTCGTGTGTGTCTTTAAGGGGGGCGTTCTTTGTTTTCTCAATAAAAGAGGCGTTTTATTAAGGTCAGCTAATGGATCAACTGTATGTATATCAACGCTTTGTGCAGTAAGTGTGCTAAAGAATGAAAGAATGGCAGACATGAGGCGCCTGAAGTTCCCCAAAGTCGTTGATGACTCAGTCCGCAAGGCGGATAAACATCGGGTGAAGAAAAAAATAAAAGAAAAAGAACAGCCAGAGAACCAGAATCAAAATAGAAGAGCCAGAAGGAGAGGCGTTCGGAAAAAACAAGCTAAAGATCCCATGGGCAGAGAGAAAAACAAAAGGGAAAAACGAGATGGGAGACCCGCACATGTGTTGGTATCTTGGGAAATTCGGGAGGGGGGCGGTGAAAAGTGGTGGGGTAACTCTAGGTGGGGTGCATTGAACTTGGTGGCAAAAGGGGAGCGATTAAAGCTACACCAAGAGATCACAGATCACAGATCAAAAGTTCCCAGAATTAAAACCAAGCCAAGCCAAATACTTGTTGTTGTTATGGCGAATTTCCACAGATCTCGGTTGTTGTTATTGCGAAAAAGAGGAAAGAGGAAGATATAGGGGAAACAAAATAAGAAGAGCAGGCAAAAATAATAAATACAAAGACCGAAAAGTGGCAGCTGCAATTCAAATATTTCACAAAAACTCAAAAACACACACATCAAAAGTGGGAGAGAGAGAGTGATACACACATTCAGGCAAGCAAAGGAGCAGAAAAAGGAAGCGAACAGCTAGTGCAAAAGGAGTCCAGACAATGGTAATGCAGGGATGACGAGGAAAGGTTGTGAGCAAAACAAGTCAGCAGGATCAAGGACACGCAGACACTCACACACTCAGAAAGGAGCAGGCAGAGAAACCTGAAATCGTTACACAGGCACAAAGCCAAAGAGAGAGATGTAAGCGAACGAGCAAGGGAAAAGAAAAGGCAGATTAAGGACCCGTTCCTTTGTATTTTTTTTCTACAATACATCCATAGGTAGGTAAAACCCATTAGGGTAGTTCCCTCATAGGTAATAAAGTGTTTGTGTGTGTAGGTAGAGATCGTCAGGACATGCAAAAAATAGAAAGAACAGAGAACCGAAGAAAATACTTCATCACAAAGGGAAAGATTATTTGTTTCGGGTCGATTGTAAATCCGTTGTTAGGGTAGAGAGTAAATTGCACAGTGGTGCGAGATCTGTTAAAATTAATTAATTAAAATGATCTATCGTTATTGGATCATTAGTTGAATATAGCAATAATTAATGACATGAGGCCAGCACTAAATATTTCCTTACTTATGACTGTTGTTTATGTTTTTCTTTGGTACGGCAATCTGGTTTAAAGTTTTAGCAAAAAACATTTCATGTGATAAACCACATAAAATAAAAAATATCATTAAATAAAATTAGCATACGTATATATATACAAAACAAAAAATAGATAATTATTATGATTTGTATGTTCTGACTGAGCAATTTACATTCGAAAGACGTAGATAATATATTCAAAATAGTACAAATCACATAGTTCACTTGTAGAATGTCATACATTTTTAAACGTTTATTTATTGTCTAAATTGTTTGTTACCATATTTGGCGTTGGCTAGATGGCAATTAACTACACTATTCTTCAATTAATTAATCTTACTTTGATTTGATAAAAAAATAATAATTTTAATGTTAAATAACAAATCTTTAAGCGGTTTTTACCTACCGAGGAAAAAAAATTATAATGTGTCTTATTAAAATATTAGCTGGTGTTTCTATTCACTTATTGATTAAAGAACAAATTTAATACACTTATTTTTAAAAACTTTAAAAAGAGGAAAAAGCTATAATTTAAATAAAAGTGTAATAGAATATTTAGTCTATTAGTTTTGTTGCTGGTCGAATTAACTTAATGAAACTGTAGTTTCTTTATTTGAGTTCCCTATTGCGATAGCAACCTCTCATCGAATCATTCTTCTCTCTACCCAACAGAAGGCAGCTGCTACTCCTCTCTGACGAAGGAAACCGAATACCTCCAGCTGGGTGATATCCTCGCCAGTCGCAAACAAGAACAACAGGGGCACACGATCTCATCGGAGGATCACAAAGGGCTCGTGCCATATGAACCAGGGGGTTGTTGATATCGCCTCCTAAAAGAAGTACCGACTCATGCTCATGCGGTCGGTTGTCGAGACAAAGTGATCCTGGCGCAAGGAGCAGGACGAGCCGCTTATCAGCCATGCATGGAAATCGGGGTGGCTGAGGGTTGCAAACACGCGTTCTTATCTTAAAGCTTAGGCTGTCGGGAGGGTGTCGAAATAGAGCAGATGTGCAAACAACGGCCCCGATGACTGATGACTGACGAAACCCAGCAATTACACCTTGAAGGGAGGCGATAATTTCCACCGAACGACGCGTGCGCGGCACACTTGGAGATCCTGAACAGGAGCAACTCTCGCCTGGGCACTCAGATTCGGGATCTAATTCGAAGGAACCAAATTTTCCAGTATTAAAATGTCGGTGGATAACAGCTTGGGAATCCTAGACTTCAGTTTGCCTAAGGAGAGTGAAAAAACAGCAATGACAGCAGCAAACAAATACAAAACGTCAGACAAGGAGAACGACCCAGATCCACACCTAATGGGCATTGTCACCACCGGGGCCACGGCCCAGCCAGCCACGCCCACATCGGCAACTGCAACTGCAGCGGCACTACCGCCCACGTCTGGTCTATCAGCTGGACAGGATGTGGCAGACGGTGGGGGCAGTTGTGGCAACACGGAACTCAAGTTCCAGTCGTACGTGAATGGCAATGGCAATGGGGTGTACAAGATCATCAAGACACTGGGCAAGGGCAACTTCGCCAAGGTCAAGCTGGCGATCCATGTGCCCACCGGTCGGGAGGTGGCCATCAAGGTGATCGACAAGACCCAACTGAACACAAGTGCTCGGCAGAAGCTGTACCGCGAGGTGAAGATCATGAAGCTGCTGAACCACCCGAATATTGTGCGCCTCTTCCAAGTGATCGAGTCGGAAAGGACCCTCTACCTGGTGATGGAGTACGCCAGCAGGGGCGAGCTCTTCGATCACCTGGTCAAGAATGGAAGGATGCGGGAGCGGGATGCCCGGGTAATTTTCCGGCAGCTGGTGTCCGCCATCCAGTACTGTCACAGCAAGTTTGTGGTACATCGTGATCTGAAGGCGGAAAACCTTTTGTTGGACCAGAACATGAACATTAAAATCGCGGACTTTGGTTTCGGCAACACCTTTGATCCCAATGCCCAACTGGAGACATTCTGCGGAAGTCCTCCATATGCAGCCCCCGAACTATTTATGGGCAGAAAGTACGCAGGACCTGAGGTGGACGCCTGGTCGCTGGGAGTGGTGCTTTATACCCTGGTTAGTGGATCTCTACCCTTCGATGGTGGCACCCTAAAGGAGCTGCGGGAACGAGTCCTCCGTGGCAAGTACCGTGTGCCCTACTACATCTCCATGGACTGCGAAAACCTGATGAGGAAATTCCTAGTTCTTAATCCCGCCAAGCGCACTACGTTATCAGCAGTCATGTCGGATAAATGGATAAATTTGGGTCACGACGAGGCCGACAAATTGCGCCCGTTTCGGGAGAAGCCCATGGAACTACAGGATGCCCCTCGGTTCGATTTATTGGTGAGCATGGGCCACAAGCGCCGGGATGTGGAGCAGTCGGTAAAGGGGCAGCAGTTCGACGACATATACTGCACCTACATGCTCCTGGGAGTGGCCAAGCCGCGATCCTCTAACCGCAGCGCCAAACCGGAGGCTTTAGCGGCAGGAGCAGATGTAACTTCTCCCTCAGTCAGCAGTCCGCTTACTAATATCACCACGCCTACTGTTACCATAGCTCAAGTGACGCTGTCTATGGACAAGAATACGCCCACCCACACTGCTTCCGCTTCGAGTCGACCGATAGCTCCTCGTTTGGCGAGTGCACCTATAACACCCACTTCGACTCCACCCTCGGGACCGCCTGCCAAACCCACCCGTCGCACTCCAGGCAGGACACCAGCCCGTAAGGCAACCAACCATTCGAGCGGCCTGGGACGACCGGAGCCATCGAGTCTGCCGCACACGCCACAGTCCAAAAGAGCCAGTGCCAACATGGATGTGAAGCCCACGCTACTGAGTGCCCAGCGACAGTTGGCCCAGACCCAAAAGTTGGCCAGCACCCCGCCCCGATTTCAATACCCCACTACTCAGACTCCAAATCAAGCCCAGGGATCCAACAGAAGACCCACGACGCTCTACGAGAAGGCGGAGCCGGCAGTCACGCCCCTTTTGGTGCCCAAGTCGCCGGCCATCGGCGGACGGCTGATGGAACGGATTCCAGCAGCGGGTGCCGTGGAAAAGGCTTCGGACAAACCCTTCACCCGACAAAATGTGGCGCGGGCCACCTTTCATTTCGGACAGGCGCGCAGTGGAAAGAGGGGTGGAGGATCCGGAGGTGGACAAGGTGGGGAGGAGGACAGCTATCAGACCCCACCCCTATCCGCTGATGACACCAAGCCCGCCTCGCGAGTGGGATTCTTCTCCAAGCTGACCGCTCGTTTCGGTAGAAGGGTGATTCACCTCAACGAGAAGGATGTCACCGAGCAGCGCAAGAACCTCACCAAATAGCCAGGTGTCCGGCGGATTGGGGCATCAAGGAGTACAGCAAGTGATATAGCAGACCCTATCGGAAATTTCGATCGACCTAGAGTCTGGATGGCAATCCTAGAATTCAGTTTTTCTAACAAGTGTGCGGCGAACGCTTTGCTGTGATTTGAAAAAATAGCCCAACCCGAAATGACAGCAGCAAACACATACAAAACGTCCAACAAGGAGAACGTCCCTTATGCCCATCTACCGGGCAAAATAGCTACCACCGGAATCACGGCCCAGTTTACCAAGTCCACTGCCGCCGCGCCCAATTTCGCATCTGGCCAGGATGTGGGATACGTTGGCAGCAGTAGCAGCAGCTCGGAGCTCAAGTTCCAGTCGTACGTGAATGGCAATGGCAATGGGGTGTACAAGATCATCAAGACACTGGGCAAGGGCAACTTCGCCAAGGTCAAGCTGGCGATCCATGTGCCCACCGGTCGGGAGGTGGCCATCAAGGTGATCGACAAGACCCAACTAAATACAAGTGCCCGCCAGAAGCTCTATCGAGAGGTGGAGATCATGAAGCAGCTGAACCACCCGAATATTGTGCGCCTCTTCCAGGTGATCGAGTCGGAAAGGACCCTCTACCTGGTGATGGAGTACGCCAGCAGGGGCGAGCTCTTCGATCACCTGGTCAAGAACGGAAGGATGCGAGAGCCGGAGGCCCGGGTGCTCTTCCGCCAGTTGGTATCCGCCATCCAGTACTGTCACAGCAAGCAAATTGTGCATCGTGATCTGAAGGCGGAGAACCTACTACTCGACCAGAATATGAACATGAAGATCGCCGACTTTGGCTTCAGCAATAACTTCGATCTGAATGCCCAGTTAGAGACGTTCTGCGGAAGTCCACCGTATGCAGCCCCCGAACTCTTCAAAGGCAGGAAGTACTCCGGTCCGGAGGTGGACTCGTGGTCATTAGGAGTGGTGCTATATACCCTGGTTAGTGGTTCCCTACCTTTCGATGGCGGTACTCTGAATAAGCTTCGTGAACGAGTCCTTCGTGGCAAGTACCGTGTGCCCTACTACGTTTCCATGGACTGCGAAATGCTGATGAGGAAGTTTTTGGTTCTGAATCCCTCCAAGCGCACTACCTTATCGGCAGTCATGTCGGATAAGTGGATTAATCTGGGTCACAGTGAAGGCGACAAGTTGCGCCCGTTTCTGGAGAAGCCCATGGATCTACAGGATGACGCTCGTCTGGACTTTTTGGTGAGCATGGGCCACAAGCTTCTGGATGTGGAGCAGTCGTTAAAGAAGCAGCAGTTCGACGACATCTACTGCACATATATGCTCCTGGGAGTGGCCAAACTGCGCTCTTCAAACCGCAACCCTTCGGGAGATAAGCCGATTTTTTCCCCAGTCAGCAGTAGGATTAAAACTACGACTGTCACCATAGCTCAAGTAAAGCTCGCATTGGACAAGAATCCACCGACCAACTCTAAAGCAGCTGCGGGTCACCCCATAGCTCCTCGTTTGGCGAATGTCTTAAAAACGCCCACTGCCACGCCTTCTTCGGGATTGCAGGCCAAATTTATCCGCCGCACGCCAGTAAACAAGGACAACAACCCTTTGGGCGGCCAAGGAAACTTGAGCCATCCGCAAGCAACGCAGCCCAAAAGTGCCCAGCGACAAGTGGCTTTTGCCCAAACCAAAAAGGTTTCCAGTATCCCACAACGCTTTCAGGTCACCAGTTTGCAGACTCCAAACCAAACTCCGGTATCCACAAGACGACCCACGAACCTTTACGAAAAGACGGAGTCGGCGGCCACATCGCCGACCAACTTCCAATCCCCATTGTTATCCGCTAATGTCAAAAAACACACCTCCCGAACAGGATTCTTCTCCAAGTTGTCCGAACGCTTAGGCATAAGAATGTCGAACGAGAAGGTTGTCGCTGATCATCGCCTGAACTCCACCAAATAGAGGAGAGCAAATGAAACAATCAAGTGATACAGCTGAGCACTCCCGAACGGACAATTGGCATTGTGTCCAGTTGGTATTTTTATTGAAAACGACTAAAATTTAGTATAACAAATAAATGTTGATTTTATTGATATGTGTTACGAGCTGAGGTGATCGTTCTGAACTGATCTTGAAACTTGACTGTCAAAAACCATTAAAATAAATTAAGACGATCGCTTTATCTTTTTACCCAATTCCTTTTATATATTAGAATAAAATATACCAATAAATTTTGATAAGTATAAATGTAAACAAGGATATGTTTTTTAAATTATAGCTCGCGACTTCCTATGGCTGAAAAACTGTGAAGTATGGGACGATCGCCTAAAAATAAAGGAACATGTAACATTAGCCAATTGGCTGGAACATTAAAAGGGTGCACACAAAACAGCGGCAGCAACAATTTTAGTTTGCGTGTCGCTTGGACATTAAATGGAGCGGTGCGAGGGATTAGGAGGGGTTGGGAATGAAAATACCTGGGGGGAGGGGGTGGAGGTCCCCGTGAGCAACACGAAACCGCAATCATTTTGCACTTTTCGAGGCAACAACAGCAAGTCCAACACAACTGCACAGGTTAGTTGAATGGGTTGGGGTGGTAATTCGAAGGCGTCGAGCGGCGGAAGGAAAAGGCGTTCACAGCCGAACATAACAATATCCGGAAAGAAACCAATAAACGGGAAATTCCGCAGAAGGGCCGACGACTATGTGTTTTCGGTGGGAACCGAGTTGGGAAAAGGATAGCAGAAGGGGTGGGATACCTGGTGCAAGGGTGGTTCAGGACTGATTGGACCCATTGGGAGCGGAAGCAGAGCGTTTAATTCGTTAACTGGCGGAAGAAGGTGACTGGAAACAAGTAACAGGTCGCACATAAATTAGACGACCAGCTAGTGCATTAATGTGCATGCCCACTCCTGGAAAATTTCTCCCACAATAACACCCCAGCAATTAGCCCCTTTCCACTCCGGCCGACTGATAAGATTGGGCCCAAACCGAAATGCAAACAGAAATACTCGCGGTCTATTTGCATGGGACTAGAACGGAGCAGAGCTTCGATTGTTTGCTTTAAGGGTAAACCGCACTCGCATTTATAGATATGGATAGAGATATATGCATATAGATGGTGCCGATAAATCGAAATAGTACTTGAAGCAAATAAAAGTGCCTGTGCAAACAGGTCGAGTCAATAATTTAACTAAAAGCGCGCGCCATTCGATTAGATAGAGACGGGCGACGGTCGGGGCTTATCAAGGACTGGATTCGATAAGATAGCCACTCCATACACTATCCATCCTTCCGACTTAACTCCCATTAGAACGCCCTGGAAGTATGCTGCAAAAGTTTCGCCCGGAAGTGCCAATAAGAAAGCCATCTAGGACTAATCAGCAACGTCTCGCAGAACAAAGAGCCTGGCTAATTTGCGGCAACAACTCGTAACGAGCGTGTAAATGAAAGTTTAACTGTAACTGCAAGTTAAACCCATTTATCCAGTGGGTTGGGCGGCCAAATTGGCCAAGTGAAAGCCAAGGCTCTTGACATCTAATTGAGGGTGGATTCGCTTTCGTCTTCATTTCTTGGGGGGCCGCAGCACCGCCTTTAAGTGTCTGCCGGCAACGCCTTGAGTGTGACTTGGGTCCGGGGTCCTGAGTCCTGAATCCTGAGTCCTTGGCCACTGCCACCCACAATTATGTCAATAGCCAAGTTTTCAGGGCCAGCCGAGATTTGGTAGTGACAAAAGGTTCGGCCACTTCCACTACCCCTGACCGGCTTGTATTGTTTACCCTGGGTAAATATTTTGCGGCCCAAGAAGTGCCACAAGAAACTGTAAGCGAGTCCTGGGCTAAGGGGCTTAACCTGCTGAAATGTCAAGTGGGGCCGTCGCTTCTTTTGATTTCTCACATTTTTCCCTCCGACTGCCTTTTGCGGTCGCTTAAGAAACATTTTTCAGGCTTTTCATCTTTTTTATGCTCGGTTTTTTCTTTAGCATTGTTCTTTTCGCGCTTGCCAATTAGTCCTATGCGATTTCGAATGTCCTTTTTTGTGAATCACGACTTCCCCCTCGTCCTAAGGATTTTTTCTTATGCCACAACCCTTAATTAATGGCTCGCATATTCCTCGACTTTGGTCCCAGTCTGAGCTGAGTTCGCCAACTATTTTGTCTCATTTTCCGCCTGACTTAAGCGCTTAATAGTTTTCAGTTTTTATGGGCTATAGTTCCGAATCCCTGCTCCGATCCGTATTGGTGTGTCTTCTTTGGCTTGCACTTTTCTTGCTCAAGTCGAAACTTTTTCTTATTGGAAAGGGTTCGGAACTTTGCTTGTGGGAATCCTTGTTTTTTGTGGTCGCCCGGCAGTTAATCAATTTTTTGTCCTTTTTTCCCATAGATTGTGTAAAAAGTTTGGTCTACAAGTATGTTATGCAAAAGGGGGGACAAGTCTTTTTGTGGTCGGGTGCAAGGGAAAACTTTTAATTAAGAAAACCTTGAAGAGATTTATTGATTAGAATTCGCCTGGTCAAACTTTCTGTGGTCGCAGACATCCCTCTAAACTTTCTGACTTTTCTTTGGCTGGAGGAGTTTCTCACATCGCTTCCGGAATAGGGCAAACAACCAATGGAGCTTTAGATTGAGCGTTTTTTATGAGAGATAATTGAGGCGGTGTAGGGGCAGCTCTTCCCCTACTAAATCAAGTAGTCTGAGTCAAGTCAACAAATGCGAAGCGCGGCGAAATCGATTCTTTGTCTCCCTCTCACACTGGAGAATATAGAAAAATACCGATTCGCTGCTTACGGAAGCGCAAAGAAATACACCCACATCCCCGGCCCCTCATCAAACAATCATACCATACCAATCCAAACTTATATTCAGTCTGCTCAACTGCCAGAACGAAACTTTGGACCCAGCCCACAGAAACTTTGGACATTATTATTACTGGCCAATACGCAGTAAGAAATAAAGTCGAGGAAACAACAAACAAAATGGTGAGCACTTCCGCCCGGGCCGAAAGTAATTACCCAAAGTCGGTAGTCGGGAGTCGGCACTCGGGAGCCCAGTGAGGCTTCAACTTGGTCTGTGCCACACATTTCACGCCACCGCCTTTCCCCCTTTAAAAACCGTCATTGTTTTAATTGTAAACAATATGAAGATAATCAGAGGCCCGAAATCAGTGCGTGGACGGGGAGAAACTGCAGTTCTTGGTGACACATGCCCACCCCCACCACCAATCACCCACTCTCCTTGGTCACAAAATAAAAACGAAAAGAGTAAAACCCAGCAGCGGAAGTGTCGCCGTGGCTGGGGGCACAACAAAAAAGCGGAACTACTCTTGAAAGATTTGCGTTGGACAGGCAGGCAGGCACCTTCACCTGGCCTGCTGCTCTGTCTGCGGCTTTTCATCGGACCCGGCAACTTTCGCGGCTGAGGCTGTCATGAGTTGCCGGCCCTCGCATATTATTAACGTTTTAATACGTATTTGTGCTGCCTCGCCCCTGCTTTCTGCCACTTTGGTGCGTGCTGCATGGCGGTGGAAATGGAAATGGACAGGGGATGGAGGTGGAGGTGGAGGTGGAGGTGGAGGTGGAGGTGGAGGACAGAGGACAGAGGGCAGAGGGTGTGTCTCGACCACTTGTTGTGGACCGGAGCACGTGGGAAAGTGGAAAGCGCCTTTCGATGCGAATGGGACCATTGGGCTTCCGCCTGGGCTTACACTTGTCAAATTGTTAATAATTTGAAGTAAGGGAAATAACCTAACCAAAAAAAAAAGTTTTTTGTTTGTATCCTATCCAAAAAAAAAGGTAATGGAGATGTGTGATGCTATTAGTGTAAGACAGCGAAATGTATTGTTAAGAAATGAAGTAATTTTTAAATGTGTCAGCCAAATTTAATTGTTCTTATTCAAATATTGTTCCAGAATTAAGAATGTCTTGTTCAAATTTATACTATATTTAATACTATACTGCAATATTAAGTTTTCAGAAAAATTATATTTTTGGTTTCAACTGCAAAAATAACAATATTTTTTTGATGTATGTATTTAAACCTATTTTAACCACCGTAATTGTGTGCAATAAGCCAAATATTTTCATGATTAATAGAACTTTATTTTGGGAACTAAAAGTAATTTTCTAAACATAAGATAAAACAGTTCTAAAATAAATAAATGAAACTAAAAATCAATAATTAGTTTGTATTAGACAAATTATAAAAATAGCTCTAATTAATGGGAGGTTTTCATTGACAACATTTTGAGTGTAGTTAAAAGCCTTGGCATGACCAGTGCAGTGCAGTCGAGCGATCGAGATAGCGCCGAATAAAGCTAGATCCGACTAGAACACAGTGCAGTCCACTGGGATGCTTGAATGATTTCGCCATATGAGACACCCAGATCGACTCAGATCGCCTCACGCCAAGTGCTCGTGCATCCGGTCTAGTTTTGGGGGTTGGGCTGAGGCTCGATTCGCCTGCTTGTTTATATAAGTCTATCGCTAATGGGTGCCTCCTCGTGTGTGTGAGTGTTGTGTGTTTCTGTCTAGATACTAAATACTAGATACTCGTTCTCGTTCTAGTGGCTAGTGGCTAGATGGCATCGCACAGATGCTCAGTACTCGCACTTGTCGTGGTGAACTCGTACTCATGCATGGCGCGCACCAAATACGAAATAAATTACACTTGATTATCTTGTTGCTCGCCTGGCTGCTGCTCGACCGCTGATCTATTGCAATAGTTTGTCCATGTCCGAAATAGGCGAACAAAAAACAAGAAAGATAAAGTGTCGCCCGCACTACGATATTTGGATACCCTCGGTTTCGACAACAATAGATTTTAAGTTTTAGAATATACTAATATTTATACAAAAAGCTTTGATGTTTTAAAGTGATCGTTAACTAGTGCTTACTGAAAATAATTTATTTGGTTTAAGTGTGGTTAAATGGTTAAAATTAGCCATAATTGTTAGTTATTATTTATTCGTAATTTTCGATCTTCTATTGAAATGGTTGAATTATAGTATCAAACACTGATAAAGAATACACTAAATGGCTTTATCAATTTATCTTATCTTTTGAATAGTTCTCTTGAATTTAATATATTGTTTGTTATTTATGGCCTGTAATATTTTTCAATAGGATTTTCTGTTTAGCTTATGATAACAACACCAAAGACTTTTCTAGAGCTTTGGTTATTTCATATACTTCTAAATTTGGGAAATTAGATATACCCTAATATAGAATAGGGTATCGCAGACTAACAGAGACCCTGGACATGTGTTGATATTCTACAAGTCATTTGCTGACTTAATTTCCAGCGCTCGAAACGGAATAGAACGGAACCGAGCAGACTGTTGTAGTTTCGAGTGGGTGGGGGGTGGTCCCTGGGCGACTGGGTGGGTGGGTGATAGGCAGAGGAGCGGGTGGAGGGGCGGAGGGTGGGGTCTGCGCGACTAAAGCCGCGACATTTGCTCAGCGAGGCGTGCAACTTTGGACGGCGCTCAAGTGAGCTCTGCCATTGGCCGGCGCAAGTTAGATATTTAGCTTGGACTCGGGATCGGAATCGGAATCGGAATCGGACTATACTATATGCGACGAGTGTGGGCTTTATTTAATTCCAGATAATCATTGCGACTTGTTGCCGCACTGGCTCTGTCTCTTTCTGCTTCTGTGCCGCTTTTTAGGGTAATTTTCTTTTCGCAATTGAATGAATTTGCGTTTCGGTCTGACTCTGTACTGAGTACCAGCCCCCTTGTTCTCCCGCCCCACACTTTTTATATTGTTCGGTCTCAATAAGAGATTATTCGAGGGCCGTGTATAGATGTATATTTAGATGGTTGCGCTCAGCTGCATGGTAGAAATTTTTACTTCCGTTCTTAAAACGATTTCCGGCCGACCATCAGAGGAGTTGGCCGTGCATGGCGAAAGGTCCGAAACTTTCTACATGACATTTCCACCTGGATGCTGGGCCAAAGTTGCAAAGTTTCGTACAATGTGCTTAACGTATCGTGTGGGGGTCGCAGAGAAACTTTCTTGGTAGCGAACGAAACAACACAAGCAACTTGGCCAGGACTTGGGTAGCTAATACTGCAAGAGACGGAACGAGCGAAAGGACTCTGCCTGGCCATTGTGCGCCTAAAAGTCAACTTTAATTTAGCATTTTTCATAAGTAGCCTTAGGTGCACTTACTTATGCACTGGCAAAGAAAACCGGGCAAGCAGAAGGGGCTGCGATGGCTGCACATGAGCAACGCAACTCGGGCCGCAGGGCCAAAGTTCCACACCAAGTGGATTTAAACCAGAAAAACATAACAGGCAGCTCTGAACTTGGCAATAACAAGTAAAAAGAGCAGCAAACTCATTTACACGGCATCGAGCTGGATAATAACGAGGCTGGGAAATGGGAAATGCTTAAGACTTGCTTCCTTCTATTTTGTCGCTTAAGCTGAAAATAATTGCAACCTGCTTGTAAATCCAACAACGCAGCAACTAGCGGCGTCTGCTGTCAGCAAAAGGATAACACGGCGCCTCATTACACACACACACACACACACATGTATAGGGGTGGAGGAACGGTTACACGACACACACACATGCAACTTCAGCAATTTCCGTTTCCGCTGTTGCACTGCGCTCCCTACACTCGCCATCTTCTTCTAGCCCAGACGCGTCTGTTTGTTTTCCTTTTTTATTCTCTCCCAGACGGGTTGGCGGGTGGAAAGTCAAAGAAAATGTCTGCGTGAAGAGCTGACTTGGTAGGAGAAATTGAAACGGACACAGGGCAGATGCAGATGGAGATGCCTCCTCCGCTCCTGGGTAACCCAACAACCGTCTCTGTCAGTTTTCTTTGCCATTTCATCTTAAGTAGCACACAAATAAACAAAGGCAAACAAGCGAGGATTGCAGAGTCCTGCAGCTCACAAAGGCGCCTCTCCATATGGCAGCACTTTTCGATTAAGGATACTCTGCCCCTGCCCCTCAACATAGTGTGTGTGTGTTGACTTTCTAATTAAAAAATGAAGTCCACTCGAGCACAAAGGCGTTTCATTAGACCAAGACTGGGCGCAGACTTAAAGTTGGAGGATAAACTGAAGTAGACTTACCAAAATTTAAGCGGCTTTCTCATTGGATAACTTCTCGATATGGTGTAACCTGCAAGTAAAAAGCAAACGATGGCACAGGGCGCAACGTAAATGTGAGATTAGTAATCTGGTCAATTTGTTCAGATGGTAAGCTGAAATGTTTGTGGAAAATTCAAAGGGGAAAAAGGGGAAGTTCACAAGCCCTAGTTCTTAAAGTTTCTACCCTTGAATAAAACGTAATGCTAACTCAACAAAAGTCTTATAAGTGCAAGCTATTTGGCGGTTTTATAGGTTTAATATTTATAATGGGTGTAAGGGTTTGCAAGTCACAAGCTGCAAGCAATAATATAATTAAAGAGGTTCAAAGAAAGATATAAAGTAGTTGATTGGGTTGTCAAATAAATACAAATATCTACACAGCAAAAATAAAATAGTTTTGGTTCTGATATTTTAAAATGTTTATCCAATTTCATACTTGAATTACTAGATTTCGATATTTTAATATTAATTAATATCAATTTTATAATTGTATTTTAAAATTGTCTATAATAATATATGATTGGTTTAATTATCTTTTAGTATCAGCTTAAAAATTTAGTTAAATAGGTCGAAATGGTAATATTTAATAACACGCAAATATAGAAATTATAAAATTTAGAAAACAAAATAAGCTTGCAGCTTCTCCATATTTTATCTTAGCTCTTAAGTGCCTACACTCAATTTTAAGATTATTCTACGCAAGATATGATTTAATTTGCTTAAATTTTTCTTCTGGTTTGGGGGGAAATGTTCTATATATTATTTGTAGTTCTTGTTTGGTTTTTTGTTTGTTTTGTTTTTTGCACCAATACCATTTGCGATATTTTACCCTTAATTTAAGTTACAATGCCAGTGGCGAGTGCGAATCAAGCCGCTTCAGAGGATCGGCCCGCTGCATGGCGGCCGTGTGTTCAGCGTTGGCAGCTGGCGGCAGGAGCGGCGGCAGCGACAGTCGCTCCCGAGGAGCGGGACTGTACCGCTGCCAGGAGCGGGCGGGAAAAGTCCGCGGACCGCTCCGGTCGCTGGTGATGCGGTTCGGAATTTGGATGAGGGCGGCTCATTTCTCTGGCCGAGTCGTTGTGCACAGGTTTTTTTGTTTGGGACTTGGGGAGGCTAACACAATTCACTCTAGCGCTGCGGTCAACGGGGGCCGGAACTGGGGTCATCAGGGGTCACTAATTGCACATTTTCTTTTTTTTTTTTGTATATTTTACATGAGCGGATAGGAAAATGATTTATTTTTTTAAGGCACAGCCGCACGGCTTGCTACATTTCTTGTCACTTCGTGGCGAGGCACACCGAAAATTATGCCACACTTTTCACTGTTTCAGATCATTTCCGGTTACTTGGATTAAGTTAATTTTATTTAGTTATTTTATACGGTTTCATTCGGAAAGAGTTTCCAAAGGTTTGTTGCCGCAGCGCTTTCAATTTTACTAGTTTAATTTAGAATTTCGAGCATTTTCTCTTTTTTAGTTATTTTATCAGATTTATTTTTTGTCGTGTTCTTTTATTTTTATTTAGGCTAGATTTGGAAATTCTATTCATGAAAAAAAATTATTGTTTTTTTAATTATGAACTCTTATAAATAATACAAAAAAATATTAAACCATTTAAATAAAACTTGCAGCTGTAAAAACCAAAAACCACAAGTCAAGAAAGTAAAAAAAATGATATATTTAAGTTGAGAGGACACTAAATTTGTTATTTATGTTGAACAAAAAAATTATTTTGTTACTTAACCAAGTAAATTTCAGAACCTTTGACCTTTACAACATATGGTAAAGAACAAGTTTACTTTGTAAAAATTAAAAATCGAATTATCCATAAAAATCAAATCGAATTTATTTATTTGACTATTTATACGATTAATTTTTTTTATGAATTAATTATTGTTATTATTTGTAGCACTGATAATTCACAACGATTATAAACTGAGTTGATGAATTCTTGTTGTTTTTCACAGTCGTGTTTTAGGCTCACTTTGTCACAGTTTTGGGGAATTATTTAATTCATTAGCATTAACATTATATTGAACATATTTTGAGATGCTCTCATCATCCCCCAACCTGGCACGTACCATCATCGAAGTGTGGACTTATGGGACTAACGGGCAACTGAATTCTGCTGACTGCCTGACTGGCTGCGCTGTTGTTGTTCCCTAGCTGAGTGACCAACTGACTAAGGATTGAACCCTCTAACTGGCCGCTGCTGCTGCGCTGCTGTCGCTGCAAGCCAAGACGATCAAATGTCTCCCAAGAAACGAAGCCCCAAAGCTTTTATATTCGGCTCCGAGTGTGTCAGGGTCTGTGTGAGAGTATTTATATAAAATTAGGCACGACCCGCTGTATCTCAACTATATAAGTATGGCCTGCTGCTGGTCTGTGTGTGTGTGTGTGTGTGTGTCTGTGTCTGTGGGAAAAGTTGCTGACAAAGTTGAGCGGGGCTGCGGCGAATCTAAGGCTACAGCTGCCTTGAGCGCTTTAGATAATTTCCTGCCAAGTTTTTCCCCATCAAAGACAAGACGCGGCGCCTGCCAATGCGCAGGCAGGATAATTGCGGGCTAACATGTCGTATGCGCAATGTGGCCACCAATGCCGCAGCAACAGCAGCAAGTGGCGCCGGATTGCATGTGTGTTGGTGTGTTCGATGTTCTTTTTGTATTAGTATTTTTTTTTTTTTTTCATTTTGTTGGAGTGTGTGTTTGTGGCCCTTTGGTTGGCTAATCGCGAAAGAAGGCAGCGAATAAAGGCGCCGCAAGTTGCACGTACCACAAGACAGCGACACTTGAACTAATTGAGGAGGATCTGTGACTGGGTTCGATGGGCGAGACGATTGAGCTGGCTGAACTAGGCTTTAATTGGTTATGTCTTATTTATTTGATAATAAAATTTATTTATTTATTTTTATTTATATATATTTAAAATAATTTGTTTTTATTTTATTTGATTGATTGGAAACTGATTTGAATTGATTGCTCAACTTAGACACACAGCTTATGCACGCTAAACAATTTAGTTGTTTTTTATTTGGGTTAATATTTTATTATTATTTTATTTTAATAATTTATTTGGAGTGATTTGAATTTTTACACAAGTGGAGGCGGCGTTCGTCGGCGTCGTCGAAAGAAGACATACGCAAGCAAAACTTCTGCCAGCGCGCGTGACTGGAAACGTACTGAATTTTGTATTCTAGCCTGCGAAAGTAAAGTGGCAGAAGACCAAGGCGCTGCCTCAGTCGAAGTCGAAGTCGAGGATTCGGTCTCCGTTTCCGTTTCCGTCTCAGCTGCCGCTGCTGCTACTGCTACTGCCGCTGCTGCTTCAGTCAACGCCTGCCCACATAAGTGTGCTACACTTTCTTGCAAGCAGGCGGTCCTCCTCCCTACGCCCTGGCATCCCTTATCCTGGCATCTGCGATAACGAGCTGCCTTTTCTATATACACGAGCGTCGTCGCTTTTAAATATATGTATATCCCATATAATAATATATATTATTTATATATGTATTAGGCGACGCCGACAGCGGCAGAGGCGAGGCAGCAGATAATTTCCTACACGCAGTAAGTGCAAGTAAGTGTGCGCCTGCTCTCACACACACAACCGCACGCATACCTGCACGAAGAAGCGCTCCAAGGAGGAGCCGATTGCCGAAACGAGCGGCCACGAGCGGTACGGGCGGAAGGAGCGGCGGGCGGGCGGGCAGTCGGGCGGTACGACCGTACGCGCGCGTAGCTTAAGAAGGACTAGAAGAGAAGAAGCAGGCAGGCAGCGGCCGCAGCAAGCTGAGGTCCTTGCCGAGTCGCAATCGGAGCGGATTCGGAATCGGAAGTCGGATGCCGAAGCTGCTGTGTAGGTGTAGGTGTAGGTGGAGGTGTAGGTGTAGCCGCTGCCTCAGGATAATGTAATGCACTCACTCACACACACACACACACGCACACAGACGCCGGCAGAGAGAGGACGCAATTAGAAAGCAGCAGGACACGAAGCAGCCGAAAATCAGACACGAAGGCTGGAAGACCCGAAGCCTGCGGCTGGCAGTCTTCGTATTGCCGGTTCAGACACTTCTGAAAGGAGCAGTCCGAGGACCCCTCTCTCTCACTCTCTCTCACACACTCTCTCCCCTTCTCCTTCTCTTTCTCTCTGCCAGCGTCTTCTTCTCAAGAGAACACACTATTTGCTTACCCGTCGGAGGATTCGGAGCATCACATGAGCAATTCTGCGTATCAAAATTGAGTTTTGGACTCTGTAGTTTCGAGTTCGTATAAAAAATATATACAAATCATAATAATACGTATATATACTTATAAAAATGTTGCCAACAATCTTTTTGCTTTGTACTTTTGATTTTACATTTGAATTTTGTAACTTGTGTCTTTGTTCATTTCGTGTCTTTTATTCAATTTGTTCGCGACTTTTTTGTAATGTTTGTTTTTTTTTAACTTTTAAATATAGTTCGTTACTTTTTGGATATTACGTTAACAACTAAAATGGACTGATGAGTTATTGTGTTGTGGGAGGGCAAACAAGTTCAAACAAATAACAAACTGAGAATCGTCGAGAGTTCCTGCCGGTTGAGAGTTTAGTCGAGACTTTTGGAGAGACGGCGAAAAAACACTTTAGTTGAGAATCGTCCTTTGGAAGCCGGTAAATGTGGTTCGATTCCTTTTGGTCTGAATGAGTTTATTTTTGATTCGATGTTTGGACACACGATCTATCAACTGCTTTCTGGGTAAGAATTTCCTTATGATTTTGTTCGAGTTTTAGTTGCTGATTTTGGTTGCTTTTTGTTTTCGTTTTTTTTTTAGTTTTGTTTTTGAGTGCACGCAAACTTAATACTTAAAAATAAATGAAAACGTAATTGAAAAATCCGAAAATAAAAATTTGTTTGTACGACGACGTTGATGTGAAGCTTTGTACTAAAAATGCGAAAAATTATTTCGCCGCGAATAGGCCGAGGACGACCGCTGACGGTGTCGTTGTCGTTGCGTTGTCGTTGTCGTTGCCGCGACTCTCTGCCCCAGCCAATCTGTGTGTGTATGGGTGTGTATTGGCGCTGGTATGTGTATTGGCAGCAAAAAATGTTTGCCCGCCGCAGCCGCGAAAAAATACGCGAATGTCCAGGGGGACAAAGGAGGAGGAATTATTCCAGGGAGGCATTGCAAAGCCAAAGGCAACAGCAAACACACGGTGGGGCTTTGCAAATAAAATCAGCGGCAGCGCAGCCAGGACTTCCTGCCCGCCACCACCCCATCCACCCACAGGATACTCTCCCACACACATACATCGCCACTTTGGAGGGGAGCTCACACAGACATATAAGCTCTTTGAGCTAGAGCTAGTGCGCATTTCAAATACTCGCTTATGGAGGGGCAGGCGTCGGCGTTAGCAGCGCTGCCGACGTCGACGTCGCTGCCAGTTGGGGCAGCCCAACAAAATGGAGAATGGGTGTGCATGTGTGTGTGTGTGTGCGTCTGGTTAGGCAAGTGTTAGTGTTAGTGAGGGGGAGGACAGCAGAATGAGCATCCCCCCGTCGGTGGGCAATACTTTCTCAGGACATTCTCCTCTACTCAAGATTCCCCAATGTTCGAAACGCATTCCACAAGATACTCTAAAAGCGGAGCCCTACTTTGAGATTGCTGACAAGGACCCACTCAGAGTTGCCGTCGGCACTTGCGTTGGGGAAATGATGCTAAGCTATTGTCTCCAAATACTGCCAAATGCTAAAGGTTTTCTCTAGTTTCCACAGATAGGTATTTTTTTCGGGGAGCAAACACGTGCTCAAGTTTGGGAAGTACTCAACTGAAGCTAACAAGTAGTTTTAAAAAGAAGAGTTTATAAAAATGACAACAGAAAAATGGTGAACGGAAAAAAGGCTTACGCATTGAAGGACATTAAAAAAAGCTAAACGCCAACAAAAAAATTCAGTTTCGCAAAAAAATGAAAATAAGAATTAATTTTTTTTACTTCAAAGATGTATAAAACAAAAAAAAAATGTACTTTGATTTAAGATAAAGCTAATTTTCTTCAATACAACAATTAATATAAAATTCTGAGTAAATGGTCAAGAAGAAAAGGTTGCTGACTTTAGATATTTGAGTTATATGCTATAGTTACAAATATATGATTTTTTGGTCTGATAAAAATAATGTCCCCAAATTTTCGAACTACCTAGCTTTTAATTAAAACATGTTAAATAGAAAGAACTTCTAACAGACTTCATAAAATGATGGGCAAGTGCATTTTGGGGGTTTTAACATGGTGCATATGCGATATTGAATCGATCACGTACAGGACAATTTACTGATGTTATTTATCCATGGCGGTGTTCAGTTTCTCTCTCGTGTCCACGGCTACGGCCTGGTTGATCCCCGGGATCCTGGTTAGTCCTGTGAGGCAGTTCGTTGGCCACTCTAGCATCTTTGTCTGCGTCGCCGTCGCCGGGAACGCGGAGCGGTGCGAGCGGTCCAGCTGGATGAGCTGACCCAGCCGCTCCAGAGGATCGCGATGAAGCTCTGGCGGCTTCTCAATCGGTTGCAGTGCCTCGCAGTATCTTTTGGATTGCACCAGAATCAGAGTGTGTGCAAACATGAGAGGTCAGTCAGTGGACTTTTTCGGGTTTCCCGTTTAATATTTATGGTTTAATAGCATCAGTGCTTATTGAAGAATTTGCGTTTCTTGGGGCTGGCATCTTGGGGTGTTCAATTCTAAGGGACAGTTGACAGCAGACGACGACGCAGACGAGTGTACGCCGTTGACTGGACTGTTTTGATCGAGGGCCGGATCTTCGGGTTCAAGATGTCAGGAATTCGTTTTGGTTTAATCGAGCGTTTTAAATTTTGGTCTTTACGGGGGCAGCGGCGGAGTGTTTAATAATCAATTGGAGGTGTCAAAAAAATCAGTTGATTGCATTAGAATTTCGTTGTTTGCTTTCAATCGAAGCTGTTATTGTAACACACACCCGCAGACGCACACGCACACACACGAACGCACACGAAAGGACACTCGCGGCCGGATACATATATTTAGATATATATATTTGTATATATTTTATTTCATTTATTGTATATAAATAGTATTTGACGGCACTCGAACTGCAACTGAAGCCTCAGCCCCTCAGCGGTATGGGGGGCGTGGGCGGTTGACTTTGGGGGCGGCAAACGCGCGCACACTTTGCACCCATTTATATATATATATATATATATATCTATATTCTATACCGTATATATATATGCAATATATATATTTTATATATAATAATGCGGCCCCACTCCACTTCACTCCACTCCACGGCGTGTGTGTGTGCTGGATGCTGGTTGCTGGATTTTTTAGAAAATAAGCAAGTCCGAAACTGAACCGAACCGTCGACGACTTGGACCAACTCTGCGGCGCCTCGCTGGAGCGGCAGCTATCGTTACGTGGCGTTGGCGTTACTTCTTTTGCTCGGTGCGGTGCGTCGAGCCGAGAATATAAAAAAGCAATGTTCTACTCAAAAGACGTCCAAAAGCCGTATGCCAACTGCGGTGCCCGGCCGATGCCTTCCGATGCCGATAGATGCGTTGCGTTGCGTTGCGTTCAGTTCGTTCGGCGTTCCGTCATCGCGACACGGACACGGACACGGACTTTGGCAAACGACGACGCGTACATGGCCCCCCTCGAGTCCAGCATCGCACCCCTCCCCTTCCCATTGATAGCCGCCAAAAAAAGCTACAGACGCGCAAAATGCAGCGACCCACCACACACCCCCCATCCGACAACTCCCCCCCTTCGTATGTAAAAGCATCTCTGTTTAAGTTTTTTTCCTTTGGCAAAAGTTCGCGCGCGCAAAAAGCGCACACACACATGGCCCTGGTATCTATGTACTTTGACCAGTCGATGTGCGAATGAAGCGCGGCCCAAAAAACCGTGGGGTGAGGGGTGGAGGGTCCTGGCTGCCCACCAAGAAATAGAAAAAACTTGGCTCCGACTCTACGCAATGTCTACGCGCCCACACTTAAAAAGACCACCCACCCATCCCGTCGACCCTTTTTCGAGCCGACCAACCACGCACGGCGATGCTGGCAAAGAAATGCAGCTGCACCACCGCCTCCTCAGCCCCCCTGAACCCCCTTCGCCGCCCCCTTTTGGGCCCCAGATCATTATGAGTTTCATCATCGTCCTGCTGGCAACGCACAAATCACGCAGCCAGGTGGGCGGTTGGGTGGCCGAAGGGCAGTTGCTTGCTGCACGTGCTGGGGCTCCAGAAACAGCTGCTACTGCTGCTGCTGCTACTGCTACTGCCACTGCAACCCCCTCTTCGCCTGCCATGTAAATTTCCGAGGCCTGGTCAAGTAAATAAACTGCAGCAGAAAGGGAGGGAGGTATAGAGGGGGGGTGCTTGGTAGAAAGGACTTCTAAAAATAAGCCGAAAAGAGACAACACAACCAAAAAAGAAGCAACCGCCTCAGTCTAGCTGCATGTGTGTGAGAGTCCTGGAGTGCAATTGCCTTGCAGCGATGCATCCTTTCGGCTGCACTCGCAGCTCTCGTTGCGCAGCCCGTGCTCTCTCTCTTTCTTGCCCACTCTCTCCTTCTCTCTCGCTCTCTGTCTTTCTGTCTCTCCGTCTCTTTGGAGTTTTCCTTTTTTCCCATCTAAACTGTGGCAAGTTGACGTCGACTGCGATGCTGACGCCGGCTTCGCTGCCATCTGCTATTTACTAGTGCAACTGCTGGTAAATGAAGCAGTCCCCAAACCACCCAGCACCACCCAAAACCACCCAAAACAACCCAGCACCACCCACTGCCCCTTCAGCTGGCGCTGCTGCTATCTTCTAGTTGGCAATTGCATTGCCTGCAATGCACTTCTCCTGTTCGGGAAACGGGGAAAGCGGCCAGGATGCACTGCGCATGTCCTTGTTTACATTATGTGCATGGCTCCAAAACTTCGCCAGCGTGTCTGTGTGAGGATGTAGAAAAGCAAAAAGTCTACAACTACAACTAAACCTGCTGCTGCTGCTTCTGGGGAGAGTGGCACGCACACCAGCAACACCATGCTGTTGCTGTTGCATGTTGCTGCTGCAGCTGAACGCCGCCACCCGACGACAGGATACGAAGTCCTTGGGAACAGGAGCCGAGCTCAAGCTCGGAGAAAGCCTTTTGCGATCTTCAGCCTCACTGAACTAAAGAACTCAAGGAAGTCATTTTTTCAAAGAAAGTAATTTCTTTGAATAAATAATGCGGAAATTAAATGAGAATTATATTGGAAATTGCTTATTGCTTACTTCACAAACTGATGTTATTTAAGGCAAACTTTTACGAAATATACATTTTTTATTGGTTAAACTTAAGTTTCTAAAATTTGATAATGCAATATCACTGATATATATTATCAAAGTGATTTTAGCACCCAAAATACTATGCAAGTTTAAGACAGTTTTAGTAATTATACAAGTACAAAATAATCAATCCATTGAACACCAGAAATTTTTGAAATTTTAAGATAACCTTAGCTTACGATAAAAAAAGTCTGTCAAGAGACAAGTTTAAAAAAAATCTTAGAAATTAGTATGGAAGTTTTTACTCTTAGTTAAAAAAAAATACAGATCAAAGATTTGTTTATTAACGATTTTAATTTATTTTCAAAGGAACTTTAAGGCTTTCAAGACAGCAAAGGCAAACTGAATTAATCAATTAATATGATTTGTTTGTGAGACGGCTTGGTACGCTTAAGGTTATTTGTAGTTTTTCTACGATCTTCAGATAAGCGTTTACCTTTGATTACATATGCGTTTTCTCAACTTATATGATCAATATAGAAATTGTTGAATCATTAAGAAGAAAGACTTCAAAGGTTTTAATATAAAAACAAAATGATGTATTCAAAATACTTGTTGACTTACCCTTAAATAAAAGTACGTCGAAAAAATATCACATCACAACAATTTTGATATTCCGTTTGCATTTAATGTTCTCTCTAAATTTTGATTAATTTTCACTATAGTTCCGTTTTTTTTTTGTATGCTTTAGAGTCGCTTTTTTTATAATTTTTTTGTTTAAATTTATTTTTTTTATTTTGATAAATTATTATAAGAAAATTTTGCACTTGTAAAATTTAGCATGTAATTTTTGTTGCATTCATAGACTTTTTGGTTGTTTAAAAATTTTCAGGTAATTTCGTAGTTTTTGATTTCGAGTGTTGACTTCTGCTTTTATTCTTCTGCTTTTTGACTTCCCTTGGATCTTTTCCAAATATTTATTGCCGAAATGCACAATACAAAAGGTGAATTAACTAAGGATCTACGTCTGAATCTGTAGAAACTGAGAGTGTGTCGGGACGATGACGAACCTGTGGCCGAGACTTGAAGACGGAACGGGCCAGACGATATCGAAATCAAATTCAGACGTTTTAATTTTGGCTCAAATCGGAATCGGTGCGGAACTGAAACTGGAGTTACTTAATCTTATTACTTCTTTTTCGTGTTTCTGCTGACTTTACGGACTGACTGGTATTGCCTGCTTATTTGGTTGCTTCTTGGCTTTGACTTGCTTTGTTGTGGCTAGTTGTTGTTTGTTGCTTGCTTTGTTGTTGTTTACGAACAAAATGCTGCGTTTGACTGGCGCTGATTATCAAGTGATTAATATTATCGATATTGGTAAAAATGTAACTTTGTCTATTTTGTTATTTGTTGTTGGCTGGCTGGTTTTGTTAGTTAGTTTTGGGAAATGAGGAAAAAACTGCGCTACATTCTAGTGCCGGCGTTTACATTGTCTTTGGCGCAAGCCGGTTTGGTTTTTTTTGTTTTTTTTGGCGGGTTACGATTCACTCAAGATGGCATGGCCAGCGATGGCTGCTCGAGCCCCAGCCCGAGTCTCAGTTCGAAGGGCTGACGGGCCAACGGGGCGTATGAGTGCCGGGGCCGCATTGCGTATACGTAAAGGGGGCCGGGCTGGGTGGTGGAGGTGGTATGTAGGTGTCTAGTCTTGCACTTCAAGTCATGTTGCACACACTTTCACTTTCACATTCACTTGCCACTTTTTTTCCATATCTTTTCCCTGTTTCTATGTCTGTATTTTCCTCTATTTTTTTTTTCTTTGCTTGTAGAGTTTTTTCTTGGGGTGGAAAACTGCTTCTGCTTCTGTTTCTGCTTCTGCCTCTGGGTTTGATTTATGCAGATGCGAAGAAGTCTGCGAGAAGTGGCGACCTGCCTGCCGACTGCCTGCCTGCCTGCCTTGCACTGCCTACTGATGTGCCTTGCCTGCTGCCTGCTGCCTGATCCTGGCAGCACGGCTCAGTTCAGTTCAGTTTAGTTCGATTCAGGACAGGCCAGGACAGGGAGACGTGAACCCGAGGAGCAGAAAAAAGCGCCGCAACTTGTTTCGCGTTTAGCAGTTTTCTGTTGCAATGTCCTGGCAAAAATCGCTAACGATGACGGGCCCAAGAGTCACAGAGCCGCTGTCGATGTCGATGGCGTCGTCGCTGCAGCGCGTTGATTATGAGGGACGCCAGCCCCTCGGCCGCTGATGGAGTAGGATGATGCGGATGTGGATGTGGATACGGATGAAAGTGGCCGCTGGCCGGGCGCGAAACGCGCAAAAAAATTCCGCGGCTACGTCGCAGGCAGCGGCAGCAGCGCCAACCGAATTGTCCTCGTCCTTTTTGGTTTGGCTTTGGCGCAAAAAATTGCTGCGACTGCGACGTCAGCGCTGCTCCTGCTAATGTACATACACATGCAACACTCACACACACACACACTCGAACAGTGGGCGCACATATGCATTGCTGGACAAATCCAAAAACACAGAGAGAAACAGACAGCAACGCGCGCTCAGTCGCGAAAAATCAAAACAAAGCGCGACGACAGCAGCAGCGGCGTCCTTACCAATACATGCACAGCTAGAGGAGGACATGGACAATGCACATACCACTACCACACACACACACACATAACCCCCATGCCTCACCATGCTTCCAATCAAGAGCAAAACGCATTTTGCTGCGCCTAAAAATCAAACAACGCCAAAAAGTATGCAACACCCAAACCCCCGAGCGGCTGATGAGGTGGTTTTGGGACTGGGGAGATGGCGTGGCGGGTGGATAGGTGGCTGGTCGACTGGGCGGTGAAAAACTGCAGCTATCGAGCCTAAGTGTACCTAAAACCCAGCCCCATCCCTGCCAGATTGACCACACCATTCCGCAGATACAGATACATCTACAGAGAGGTAGTGTGGCAGCTGTGGGAGCTGTTGCTCCTGGCTCTGCATTGTTGGTGCGGCACTCTCACCCCACCAACGCCCCACTAGCCACTACCGACTACCCACTACCCACCACCACCCAAACCCACAGGACCCGCCATGTGGCCATGTTTTGTTTTGATTTCGTGCTTCTCACACACATCACATATGCGGGGAAAAATGCAATTTTTTCGTTTTCATTTGCAATGGCAAAGCAACAACAAAAAAAACGAATCGAAAAAAAAGGAAAGCTGGAAGCAACAAATAAAACAAAAACCTAAGCGAAACGTAAAAGTTTTCTATGTTGCCCCTGCGCGTATGAAACACTTTTTTTGTATTTTATTTCACCGCCATTTATGGGTGTTGGGTTATTGGCATTGGTATTGGTATATCGTCAGAGCTGGCATTAAAATATCCAGCAAAGAAAATTGCAGCTGGAAAAAATATAGAGCGACATCCGCACTCAAACCAAGCCAATGGAGTCAGCATAAATTCCCACTAACTCATGCACATCCTGGGAGAGGGGCGAGCGGGAGGGGATTGGTCCAGGAGGAAAAGCGCATCAAAAAAGCGGAGAAAAATTGGTGGGCGAATGCAGCGACAGCCACTGCAATTCTCTATGTATGTGCTCAAAGATAAATGTGTATATATATAGGGATATATAGACGGGGAGGGACAGATCGAAACTAGGCAGAGCCTGCATTTAATCCTACGCATCGCGCTCGTTACTCATACGCCGCGTATTCCCGGAAATGGTCGTAGCACGAGGATGAGGCGGCGCAGTTTAGGCCGGATAGGCACAGCACCCACAATCCCCACCCAGTACATGAAGTTTATGGCTTTATCGATGGCATTGGCTATTGACTTTGCCGCTGTGCCCGTTCTGCTTTTGCTTCGGGCTCGATATGGTTTTGGTTTGGTTTGGTTTGGCTTGGTCCGATACGGAAGAGGAATTGGGAATGCTGCTCGTAAAGAGACTGCCAGATAGCTTATGGATTCATAAGTTGTTATGCACAAATTCAAAGGATATGGAGGGAGTAGGTAAACAGCCACCTGCTGCGGTCTGGAGCCCGCCACCCTTTGCCACTCCTGTCCCGACCAGTCATCATTAATTAATGAGCTCGCGGCCTGCAACAGGCAGCGGCTCATCCGTTGGAGCACTTTATCGGGAAAACGCATTAAATATCGAACAGACCCGAGAATGCAACTCCTAGGGCATTTCGAAATAAAGGAATTGAAATGCTGATCTGGAAATGAAAACCGCAGAAACTGATATGCATTCCTTCCGGTTTTGTCTTAAAAAAAATATTAAAAAAAAGAAAAACATCCTAAGCCGTGATAGGTTTTACAAATTAAGCCTTTTTAATGATATATATGATTAAAATATTAAAAAAAATATTTAATCATATAATATAAATAAGGCTTCAAAAGTAAAACCGCTTCATGGTTTTACATCCAGATCCGATGTGTCAGAAAAATGTATTGCTAAGTGAAAATCACTGTTAAAATTAGAAATTGAAATGAAATATTGTTACGGCCGTATAATTTATGTTTGAAAGGGCTTGAACGCATAATAATTGTTGGATGAAATTGGTTATTATATGGTTTCTAATCAGCCATCACCCTTCGCCCTTCCAAGCCAACAGCGATCTTCATTAAATTCCCATTATGCTGCTGTTCAATTAGTTGAGAGCAATTCGATAGCAAATTAATGGCCATGCAAAGCTGGTCGCGGCCCGAAAAGCATCAATTATGCGCTCGATGTGGGGTAACCCCACCCAAAAGGATTCCCACATAAAGCATTTCTAGTTTGAGCCTTTTGTTGCTGCAGCTGCAGTTGCTGCTGATGGCTGATTTGCATATTCCCCAAAGCGGTGCTGCAGCTGCAGTTGCATTTGCATGCGCTGCCCGTTGCCTAAAAGCATGGGTCCGTGTCCAGGGCTTTATATAACGAAAATATCGGCTGGCAGGCAGGCGGTAGGATGGGTTTTTTTCACCCCCAAAAATGACAAAAGCAGCGCGGAAAATTGCGCGAAAAACTAAACAAGCTGGAGGAGCGGGATACCAGGGGGGTCATGCATCGCGACAGCTGCATTTTGGCGGACAACAAAAGTCCATTCGAATGCCAGGACATTGCAGCAGTGCAGCAGTTGCAGCACCAGCAGCCCCTTTCCCTCTCGGGAAGCAAGGCAAACAAAACCAAACGAAAAATGTTGCAGCAAATGCAATCAGCGATGTCGGTGAAAGGAAGGAGCAGACTGCACGAGGGGGGAGGGGGGATGGGGGTGTTTCGGCCTTTGTTGGCCTGCCGGAGAAGGTCCTGCCAAGTGTCAAGCGGTACAGTTGCCTCATGTCCGCGGAGTGTGAATCAGGAATCGAGTGACCATCTACCCAGAAGGATCTGCATAATTCATGGCCCAATCGCACCACACCCGTGCACACACTTTTTTATCTCCCCTCTCCCCTCCCACCCTCTCCATGGCCAGCATCCGGTTATCCCCCAAGGAACTGTTGCTGGCCATAAACATATTTTGCTTTTAATTAATCAAGCGGATCCGAGGGCCAGCTCAAAGGACATGCAAACGGATGCCCTACAACCGAACTTTGAACTTTCGATGTGTAATATTTTTAACAGCGATTCCACTGGCAGAAATGCATCATCGTGGGGGCAAAAACAAAATACTAAGCCCGGATAAAACTGATTCACTCGCTTTCTGTGTCGCCGTCTTGCTCACACTCGCCTCGCAGGCCCTCTCGCTCTGGCATGCACTTTGTGCGTTGTTGTAGCTGTTGTTGCATTAAAAATGCGCGCTTGCGTTTGAAAAACAAAAGGCAAAAAAATACAAAAATGCCCCGCCTACTACGTGGGGAAGGGGCGGGGGAGGGGCTGGAAAGGGAGTGTTTTGGTTTAGGGAGGCGGGGGGTGGTGAAGCTGGCTCATGGCTGCCGTCTGTCAGCCATCGTTGCAATGGCAAAAATTCAATGCAACTGCGACAGTCGCAAAAGCGGCTATGCTTCCTTTACGTCCCCCCTTTTTTGCCCCATCTACAAACCTTCAACACCCCGTTCAACAGCCCCCGCCCCCCTCCAAAGCTCCTTACCCACCACCCACCTATTTTCCCTCCAATGCGTTGCTCATACGCCCCGTTCAACGTTCAACAAAATGCACTTTTCGCGACAACAGCAGCAGCCTCAAATGCTACATTTCGTAGGAAAAGGATGGTGCGAGGGGCTGGGAAAAGGGGAACTTTAACGGACAGGCAACATGGCTGGGTTTTTACGCTGCAGCTGCTTTGTCAATCCGCGGACTTGTCCATATATATCAATTTGTTGTCCGATGCCATTGTTGCTGTTGTTGTCTAACGAACGACAGCGGCAGTTGCTTTTAGCCGCAATTTGCAAGCGAACTTCGTTTCCGTTTCCCCAACCACTCTCCCGCTGACTGACAAATAATTGCCATTGCCAGTGCTCTACTTAACTGGTTTAAGGTGGCACTTTCTTGTCCTCTTTCTCGACATGAAGACTCGATAAAGACATTAGCGGTGCTGGACTTCATTTCAATTAAGCTGGCCTGCCTTCTGCCCTTCTCCTGGTGTAATTAACAACAAGGTCCTGGCAGGACAAACGCGACGACGTCATCTTCGAGGGCTCTAAACTAGGCACAGACCACAGCGACGACAACGAAGGACAAACATGCAAATAGTTAAGTTGCTCAACCGCCGTTAAGGATAAGCACACAGGAGTGCCACTCACACGAGCACACAGGCACACACGCATAAGGGAATATCTCAGGAGACAATGAAACCACCAAAGCAACAATATCAGCGACATAAAGCACAAAGTAACCAAAGCCAGATGGGCTTATATCCTGTATACAAGAAAACTGCTCTTGTAATTAAGGAAAACGATTTCAAGATATAGAAAAAATTCAATTTAATTTAACATTATCATATCAATTATTATATTCAAATAAGAAAAGAGTTTTACAAAATTTGTAAAGAGTATTTATTGCTGAAGAAATCCTAAAAAAATTATTATTATTATAAGTCATGGTTTATTGTTCTTCAAATAAACTAATAAAAATGATATATTAACCCTTCACATCTCTTTTAAATAATCTTCAACAACTAAAAAGAATTTTTATTTAAGAGCCAAAAGTCATCGTGCAACTTAGCATTATTT